GCATAGAAACCAGAGAAGCAGAACATCGACGGAAACAAAACAAAAACTGAGGGTTTACTCACGTTCGGTCATAGTGGCGCCATCGTCTGAGAGCTTCGATGCACTGCACAACCCGAGCCTGTGCTTCCAACCTTCACGATGCAGAGCCCAATCAGCGTCCAACCTTCAAAATGCACAGCCCAACCTCCAGCACGTAAAAGAGCTTACCGACGACAAATCCTCTCGAGCTTCACCCCAAACTGTATTGTGTGTGTTCTGGTGCATGGGTGTGTGTCCGAATGTCTGTTCTTGTTGGGCGTGTTTATGCGTGTGCGTCTGTCCACCATAGCGTTTGTATGTGCGTGTGAGATGTTTGTATTGTCACGCTCGCCATACACAACTCCACAAAAAAAACCGCATGACTGCGACAGAATTTTTCGTCAGCCTTCACCAATTCATCAGGCGTTGAGTTGTCTTGTCGCATGCTGAGGCCGCTAGACGGGCCCTGTTTTGGGGCCCAGGCCGCGCACCCATTTTTGGTGAGCGACCTGGAGGCCACCGGCCATGTTTCCAGGCCAGGCACACATTTGGTTCCACGTGTGCTCTCCTCGATTCAGCATTTATTATTTTTGCTGGGTTTTGTCAGGACAATTTTTGTCTGTTTTTTTTTTTTTTTTCAAAACAACTTTGCATTTCATTAGAAACCCTAGCTCAGTTGGTAAGGCACGCAAGTGGCATTCAGGAGGTCTTGGGTTCAATCCCCATTGGCCTCATGTACCTTCCTGGGCAAGCTTGGCGCCTGCCACCTAGAGATAAACCGTTGGCCGGTGTTTGGCCGGTGTCCCCCGGTAGGGGGTTCCCTGAAGGCTAGGCCACCCTAAGGCTATCAGGCCACCCTGGGCTGAAAAGGCCACCCGGTGTCAGATCAGACACAAGATTGAATTTACCTAAGGCTATCAGGCCACCCTAAGGCTATCAGGCCACCCTGGGCTGAAAAGGCCACCCGGTGTCAGATTAGATACAAGATTGAATTTACCTGGGCTGGTTAGTCCGATGATAATACCTCAAGGCCATCGCCCTTTAAAAAAAATAATAATAATAAAGGAGGAGGAGGGTAAACTGGACATATGTCCTGACTACCCTGCGACATCTCGGTTTCGGGGGCTTCGGGGAAAACATACAAAAGTGGGTGCTAGCGTTGTATTCTTTGTCCACTGCTGCCATTGGTGAATGGGAATTGTTCGCAGTCCTTTGCACTTACCCGCTCTCTGCGTCAGGGCTGTCCGCTTGCCCCCCTGCTTTTTGTCCTTCACATGGACAACCTGTTATGCAATATCAAGGTACACTCCGAGATAGTGGGTTTGCAGGCGGGCCCTTCTCAATGCAAAGTTATGGCCTAGCTGATGATCTGTTCGCAATCTCAGCTAATACAACTCGTTCCCTGCAAGCATTGAAAGTTTGTCTTGATGACTACTCAGAGTTGTCAGAAGCTTCAGTCAGTTGGGTTAAGTTCGTCTTCGTCTTGCCCAGCCAATTCTCTCCAACTGCTAATTGAGGTATGAAGCGAATAGGTGCTGAAGCCTCTGAGAGATTTTTCGGGGTCCAAGTTTCCCTACTATCATGCTCAATTGATCAAGAGGGCATACTTCTCCATAAGGTGCTACAAAGAGTTTCTTTGTGGGGGAAAGCCCCACATTTATCTGTTTTTGGACGTGTGATGGTAGTGAATGGTGCTCTCTTTACTTTACTATGGTTTGTGGTGGTCGTCAGGCCATTAGGCAAACATCTTTATTCTCTTATCAAGCACAAGGCAGCAAAATTAATTTGGAAACCCTTCACTTCAGATCAGGAGTCTTTTATGGCTAAAGTTGTCTGGGAGTTGTTAACCTTTTCAAAGCTTGAGGGTGGTCTGGGTATGTGTGACCCCCAATGCAGAAGTTTAGCAATGCTTGCCCGTTGGCTTATTAAAGTCATGTGTTTGTCACAACCGACCCACTGGATTGCCTTCGCTGAGCTGATTTTAGCTCACGAATGGAACCTTGTCAAACCAGTAGATGTACGGACTTGCTTTCTTCTACCGTCATTTCATAATAGAAACATTAAATCAGAATTCTGGAAGGCGGTCATGTACGTCTGGAAATGCTTGAAACCATATTTCTGGCTTCACCCTGTTACGAAATCAATGGTTCTGTTATGACCCACTTTTGAAAAACCCCATATCAGAAGAGCGAATGTCTCTTGGTTTGGGCCAGATTCAGGCCGTAACAGTTTTGGTCACAATTGGATAGAACGAGCGTTTCTCAGAGTCTCTGATTTATGGGATGAGCTATAAAGACATTGGCTTTCCCCAACGACCCTATGTGAGACCCTCGGGGCTTGCTGGTATGTTGAAGAAAGATTCCAGGAGATTATGGACTCCCTTCTTGAAGTATGGACATCATTATTGGACCCAGAAGGTATAGACCCTCCGGGTACTTGGTATATATCCAAGAACTTGGATTTGTTTTCAGCCTTCTGGAAACTTACGGGCATAGATGATCTTGGTAACAGGGAATTTCAATGCTGAAAAAGTACTAATGAGCAGTTTCCCTCTACCCTAGTGGAACTCGACCCCCCCACTCAACCTCCGTTGGGTTCTCAACTACTCCAGGTAAGAGTTTGGGAACAGTGCGACAAAGAGGGAAACTAAACATGCAAT